GGAGAGGCAGAGCAAGGCACAGGGTTGTGCAGGTGTCCCCATGGGGGATGTCACCCAAGGATATCCGTGAGGGAAGCTACAAGGTCATAGGGGTCCCAGGGAAGGCAAGGAGGGCACCACAGGGTCTCACCATCAGGAAAGGAAAGGATGCGGTCGTGGATGTCAGCAGCCCGGGCCGCCTCCTGCACCTCCTCATCAGTGGCCATGACCCGTCCATAACGGATGTTGTTGGCGATGGTGTCATTGAAGAGCACCGTGTCCTGGGGCACCACCCCAATGTGAGCACGCAGCGATGCCTGCTTCACCTGCGGAGGTGGAGGGGGGGGCTCAAGTAGATGCACACCCTCTGCAAAGACACCCTCCAGCCCCCCAAAACCCAATCCCACTCCTCAGTCACGAGCCCCACAATCCGCTCCTCGCAGGGTGTGTGCTCTAGGATCCCCTGGAGCTGCATCTCCACCCTGCAGTGGGGGGAACCTGCCCCAGGGAGCTGTGGCAAGTCTCCATCATTTCAGCCTAGAAGTCCCACAGTTGGGACATTTGCCCTACTCCTGGCACACACATCGGCCCTCAAAAGGGCTGATGGGGCACAGACCAAAGATCTGAGCACTTGATGCAGTCTGACTAAACTCAACGAGGCTCAAGATACACACCAGTGTCACTGAATGTGGTTTAAATGTCACGCTCACCGTCTGACTACTTATGCACGGAAAGGAGGTGGGAAGCATCACTGGGAAGAAAGGGAAACCCGTGAAGAAGTGTGAAAAGAGTGATGCTGACATTACCATGGCCCAAGGGGATGCCAGTGCCTGCCCCGAGCAGTGCTATGAGACCCAGAGGTGGTGGTGCCCCCCTACTGTGGTCCCTGAAGGCCTCCCACCCTCACCTGGGAGATATCCTGCCCGTCGATGCGGATGCAGCCACCGCGCACATCATAGAAGCGGAAGAGCAGGCGGATGACGGTGCTCTTCCCCGAGCCCGAAGGTCCCACCTGCACACAAAGGTAAAGGCATTCGGAGACATCGGAGACTCCCAGCTGCTGGAGGGCAGGGGCTGGGCAGGGAAGGGCTGTCCCTGTTTGGAGGGTCTGTCCTTCCCACCTCCGTACTTCCCAGCTCCTCCTTCCCCATCCCACTCTCCAGCAGTGAACCCACACTCACCAGGGCCAGGGTCTGCCCAGGCATCACAGAGAAGGAGACATCCTGCAGGATTTCTTTCCTGGAAGAAGATTGAGAGGGGCTCAGAGCTTCCTCTGCTGCCCCATGTCCCTGTGCTTGACTGTCCCATAGCTTGTCTCGTCCCACCCTACCACCCCATGTCCCCTGCCCCGTACCCATCCACGTAGCTGAAGTGCACGTTCTCAAACTCAATTCGCCCGGCCTCCAAGCGCAGGTCACCGGCGTTCACCACATCCTTCACCTGCCAAAGGACAAGATGTGGCCTCAGAGCCAGCCTGTCCACAGGGCAGGACTGGGGCTGTGCCAGGGAGCAGGGTCCAGGAAGATGGCACCCACCTCCTGCTCCTCATTGAAGAGCTCAAACATGTTCTCCATGTCCACGAAGGAGTTCTGGATCATTCTGGAAAGGGGTGAAGACAAGGGGGAAGGGTTTAGGGGAGCACATCCCGACCCAGGAACTGATGGGGAGGGGTCCCATAGGCACCTCTACAACTCCCAGGGTTACCTGTAGTAAGTCCCAAACCAGTTGAGCGGTGTGTAGAGCTGGATGATGTAGGTGCCAAAGAGGACAAAGTCCCCCACCTGGAAGGCACAGGTGCCTATCACCACCAGGCCTGGGGCCCTACCATGGTCGGGGGTCTGCTCAGGCTGGCACTGCCTTACCTGCAGCTTGTTTTCAGTGACAAAATAGGCGGAGAGCAGGGACCCCGCCAGCAGCCCCAAGCCAATGACCAGGTTCTGAGTCTGGTTGAGGAGGCCCAGCGAGGCACTGACCTTCCACTCCGAGACCTGGAAGAGACAAGGTCCTCCAGAATGCTAACCCCTCTAAACTAGACTCATAGAATTACAGAATCGCTTTTGCTGAAGAAGACCTTTAAGATCATCATGCCCAACCATTATCTAACTCTGCCAGGCCCACTTCTAAACCACGTCCCTGAGCACCGTATCTAGATGGCTTTTAAACACACGCGAGGACGGTGATTCAACCACTTCCCCAGGCAGCCTGTTCCAGTCTTGGTGAGCTCCATCCTCCCTGCAGACATCCAGGAGGCTCGGTTCCTTTCTGCCAGACCCTCTCACTGGTGCTGAGCGCCCCGTACCTGGTACTTGACAATGGCATCATTAAAGCGGTTCACCTCGTAGCTCTCTGCATTGTAATACTTGACCTGCAGGATGCAGAGCTGGGGTCAGCACCCAGATCAGCCCCCAAGCACCAGTGAGTACTCAGCAACCACCCCACTGCCTACAGTACCGTCTCAAAATTGAGGAGCGAGTCCACAGCCCGGGATTTGGCCTCATTGTCCCGCGTGTTCATGTCCCGTCGGTATTTGGTCCTCCACTCGGTGATGAAGATGGTCAGAGCTGCAGGCAGGAGGGGGCTGCGTCGGCAGATGCCCACTGCCCCACAGCCCAGCACGGCACCCCTGCACCCCAATCCCTCACTCACTCAGGTAGAGGCTCATACACACGAAGATGATGAGGCCAAACCAGGCGCTGAAGACCGAAGTGAAGTAAACGATGCCGATGACAATGTCCGCAATGGTGGGGACGATGCTGAAGACGATATAACTGGGGGGGGCGGCAAGGGGGATGGTGTATCAGCCCGGCTCAGTGGGGCTGCCCAGCCACCCCGCACCCTCCGCGGGCATGTTCTGACCTGAGCAGGCTGTTGATGCTGCTGGTGCCCCGGTCCACGCTGCGCAGGACCTCGCCGGTGCGACGTCCCAGGTGCCAGCGCAGGGACAGCCCGTGCAGGTGGGCAAAGAGCTGAACCTGCACTTGCCTGTTGGTGAACTGCTGCACCCACACCCACAGGAAGGTGCGCAGGTTGCTCACAAAGCCGGTGGAGCCGGACACCACGGGATGGTCAGTGGGGACCAGCACCACTGCAGCTATCTCAGGAAACCCAGCTGGGAAATGGATTCGGGATGCTCCCTGCTCCCAACCCGGCACCAGTCCTGGCTGTTGCTCCCAGGAGAGAGCACCAGTGATGGAGGCATAAGGGCATCTTCAGCCACCCCAGCCCCAGCACGATGTGCCCCATGATGCATCTTTCCAACACCTCATCCCTCCTGGTGGTCCTTACCAGCACCTCCACCCTGCAGGAACTTCAGCCCCACGTAGCTGCAGACAGTCCAGGCCAGGGTATGCCAGGCAGCACCCTCTGTCAGCTCATTCACTGGGAAGAGGGTGACAAGGGTCAGGGAACATCGCCAGGTGCCTCATGGCAACCCAGTG